AATATTTAGGTGCTCTTGTTTTTCTTGGAGCCAACTTGCTCAGGCTGATAATGCAAACTTTTGCCTGCTCATTATCCAAAGAAAGCCAGACACTAAATTAACTTGCTACTACCCTATGTTTCCTATACTCTGTCAGTGTTATGATCTGATGGATTAGTGCTTGCTGAGCATTTGAGGACAGAATAGTCATTCCATTTATCATTTTTGCTCCTTGCTACATCAGCCTGGCTTGTAGACATGGGAGGCCCCATGGCTGACACCCTGTGTATTTTCTACACAATAAACTGCCTTATTAATGTGCCCTACTTCCTCGAAGTTTTTTTGTTGTTGTTGTTGTTTTTTTTTTAACTTTTCAGCTTGTCTGTTTTACTTTTTCCAGATACCTCAGAGAATCAGTGAATACTAGTAGCTAGCCACTGGTACGCAAAGCCTATCTTCACCAGCATTCCCAGGGTTAGGACTGGGTAGGAGATCCCCAGTTTTCTGTGTACCCTGGCTGAAGGCCTTACACTGAGTATACTAGGCTGATCTGGTGCTAAGATTTCCTGACATGTACAGAAGTGAGTTTCCTATATTTATTTCCCCTGAGACTTTTCCTTTGAATACTGCCATTTTATTATCTTCACTGCCCCACTCCCACCCCCGGCAATCTTATATCTGCCTGATTCTTGGGCCTAATGCCTAAATGAAGCTATTGCTCCTGAAAATTGTGTTAGATTTTAAATTCTTTCAGAGTCTATGTTTTGACACCTCACATGAATGCCGGTGGAGGTGGAAAGCAGAAAACCAATCAGCAGCCCTGTAGGAAATGTTAAAAGTTAACCAGTTCAGACAAATATTTGCCTCCAGCATCTTATAAGGTATTACCCATTGCCAGTTTTTATTGCCAGCATTCTCAAACCCACAAATCCAGCTGGAAAAAGAGACCAAAGACCATCACTGCCACCTCTACCCATTATCCCCTTAAGCTTCCTTCCCTCTGCCTGACACATGGTATAAAAGGAGAAGTAAAGGAGGCTGTGTGATGTGGCAAAATATTTAAGCAAGAAAGCATCAGATGGGTACACAATGAGCAACAAAGCCTAAGCAAAGAGTATAAATACAAAAGCAAGCCAGTAAATTATGAGATGGGGGAGTGTCCAAGATGTAATAGAGGCTATGTGAAGAAAGGTTTTATAGGGAAGGAGACCTCCAAGGTGGTGACACTTGAGTTGAAGGCTGAATGATGAGACCCATGGAAGGCCATGAAAGGAGCCTTACAGAAGCCATGTAGAATACCCAAGGACAGAGACTTCAGGCTACACACTAGGCTTGTGCATTATGGAGGCACAGAAGATGGAAACTCCTTTTAAACAAGTCCTGAGAGGACTCTGCTGTCCTTACCCTCTCTTGCCTCCCTTGCCTACCCAGCTTCACAGATGGCCATTATAGGACATCCATATCATCCATATCCCACAAGGTTGAGGAACATAGTTTTTTTTTGGGCCACAATGACACAGAACCACTTTTTATCTGGAGTTAACTATATGGATTAAAAAAAAAAACTGTAGAGAAAATCCACAAGTAACTTATCTAATCTGGTGATAGCACTTGGCATAAATAAATATATAAATAAATAAATAAATTTGTTTTTAAAAAAGAAAAGAAAAACATAAAATCTTTCTTTCTTTAGTTACATACAGTTTGTTCTCTCAGAAGAGGCTGACCCCTCCCGCCCCCAGCCAGCAGTTTGAATTGACCGAGAAAGAGTTCTTTCTATACCAGGCAATTATGCCATTGTTTTTTGTTATGGTGGTTAAGTAGAAAGAAGAATATTTAATATGTCTTAAAGATCCTCTGAATGTCATCAACCACTTATCCTTAGGGAAGAAAGGGAATCCAGAACCAGAAAATAAGAAACTATCATGTATTCTGGGTATGTTTTGGACTTTTGTGTTCTTTCATGAACAAAACTAGATAAGGAAAGTCCCAGAGGTTGTCTCTGGCAGGCCATACTGCAGGCGAGCACAGCTGTTGTGTGTAGGGATAAGCAACAGGCTCCAGCACTTTCCTACTTTCCTATGTGTTCTTCTCCAGTAAGAAAAATCAGAAGCCAAGGAGAGGTGAGAGTCTGGATTTCTACCTGCAAAGACAGATGTGATTCTTAAATGCCAGGGGATCTTATTGATTGGTTTCCTAATAGCTGTTAGTAGAAAGAAGAACATTTAATGTGTCTTAAAGATCCTCTGAATGTCATCAACCATTTATCCTTAGGGAAGAAAGGGAATCCAGGACCAGAAAAAAAGAAATGTCATGCACCATCCTGAGGGCAGTTTTAGGAGAGAAAAAAAGTAGCATAAAAAATGTCTAATCCCATGTGGTTTGGGGAAGGAGTAAAACCAAGCAGTCACAATGGCACTTCAGTCTAGGCATAGAAGATGAAGAAAGTACAGGAAATGCTGCACAGTGGTTTGACATGTAGGGTCAAATTGTTTAAGCTCAAATTTCAGCTCAGTTATTGATGGCATCTTAAGCATCTTATTTTATCATTCTGAGGTTCAGTTGTCTTATCAGTAAGGTAGGAGCCATAATGTTGAGAGCTCTTTGACCTCTTCAGGATTGTTCATATAATCTTATTTTTTTAATTTATGTATGTGTAGTGCCTGGCTATAGGTCAGCAGTATTAGTCATGTGACCCAAATCATTCACTATTAAGTTTTACTTTCCAGTTGAGGTTGGTTTGTTCTTTGTAGGAGACATTGAAATCAAGAACCTTCCTCACTCCTGTGGGACTGGCATTGTATTAGAGACAGATTAGGAAGGAAAATATATATTACTACTCTAAAGAATAAAAAAGTTATGTTTTTTTAAATGTTTTAAATTGGTTTTAAATATGAAATCACTTTTTAGAAGAATTAGTTGTATCTGTGACATGCTAGCTGTCTCTCTTTTGACAAATAGAAATAGGTATCTTGAAAAGTTTTCTGAGAGGCAATACTTAAGACTGTTTGAGCAAATAATTTAGAAATGAGAGAAATAAGAATGGACAACTAAAAATAGGAGGATCCAATTTGATAACCAAATGTTTATACCTTTTTTCATTCTAGGAGAAAAAATAGCTAGTAGAAGTGTAAAATAAACCCCTGAAGGGATCTAGAAAGTTACCGATTCATTCACTTAAACTCTGGAGCCTGACACATTCCAGCAATAGAATCTCAGATGCGGTAATATGAGTTTGGCTCATTCTGGCATGCTATACCTGTGGGTTCTTGGCCATATTGTTTGACCTCTCTGAAATTGAATTTCTATAAAAGTATAACTGCCTTATGTAAATTCCAGGACAATGGTGAAGATAAATGATAAAAGACCAGGCAGACACAAAGTCTTGTAGTTAAAATGGGTATAAAACATACTGTGGAGTTGTCTGTAGTTTATGATGCAAGGAAACCAGAATTTAGGTTCTCAGAATCCTATTAGTACTTATTCTGCTAAAATGAAACACATTTCAAGAGGACAGAATGGAGTTGGAATTGGGCTTGTCCATATTCTTTCAAGGGAACACATAGACAAACTTGCCTTGAGATTCCCCTGGAAGTGATGTGGAAGATGAGAGGAATCCAGCACGGTGATGGAGGGAGGCAGATGTAACAACAAAGATGGGAGACGAATGGAAAGTTTGTAAGCTTTTTCAGATCTAGTTCCAGTGAATAAACTATACCTACTTATTTGTAGTTCAATACAGAAGTTTAAGAGAACATGCTAATTCTAATTGCAAATTATATTGGAAAATGCAGTACAAAAAAATAACACATGTTTAGAATTAGCTGAAATAATTCATGAGACATAGCCTCCTGGCTGGGTCGTTTTTCCTAATCCTTAGTATCAGTTTTGACTTGCGTTATTGTTGGACAGACATCCTGGGGCTGTGGAGGAATGCTGCTCATTGCCAGTCTGGTGTTGTTCTTCCTTCCGTTATGTTCCTCCTGTTCTGTGTAGCAGGGATACTGTGCTTTGATGTGTCACTCTATCTGGAAGTCTTGCCAGGTCTTTTTCTGACTTTCAAGAACCTTTTACTCATGTAGACCACAGCAGCGGGTTCACAGCCTTTCTGTGTAAAGTCCACCCTCTCGTTTACTAGGCAATCTGTGTCCACTAATTAGAGATCTGTGGCAGGACAAAAACTCTGCCCTGTACTGTGTGACACACATGTTCTTGTGCTGATATACATGAAGACTCACATTGAACATTGAACATACACCCAGATATCATTCATGAAGGAAGGAGGATAGTTTAAAGCAAAAGAATCATAAATATAGGACCGCACAAGACAGCCTGTGACAATTGTCTTAGTTGGTGTTATGTTGCTGTGAAGAGATACCATTATCAAGGCAACTCTTTTTTTTGTTTGTTTGTTTGTTTGTTTGTCTGTCTGTTTTTCGAGACAGGGTTTCTCTGTATAGCTCTGTCTGTCCTGGAACTCACTCTGTAGACCAGACTGGCCTTGAACTCAGAAATCTGCCTGCCTCTGCCTCCCAAGTGCTGGGATTAAAGGTGTGCGCCACCACTTCCCTCAAGGTAACTCTTATAGAGCATTTAATTGAGAGTTTGTTTACAGTTTCAGAGGGTTAGTCCATAATCATCCTGGCAGGAAGTAGACAAACATGTTCTGGAGCAGTAGCTGAGAGCTTTACATCCTGATCCAGAGGCAGCAATCAGAGAGGATGGGGAGGGGAAGGAAAGGGAAGAGGGGAAGGGAAAGAAAAAGAGCTTGTATTCTAGGGCCTGGAGTGTAGGCTTTTGAAGCCTCAAAGCTCATTCTCACCCCCACCCCTGTAACACTCCTCCTCCAACAGAAACATACCTACTCCAATAAGGACACACTTTCTAATCCTTTGAAACAGTTCCTCAACTGGAGACTAAGCATGCAGATATATGAGCCTGTGGGGCTCATTCTCATCCAAACATATTCCTATATTTTAACCCTGTCTCTCCCTTCTTCCCTCACTTCTTGCTGGGTCTAGGTTTTGCTGTGCATCACCTACACACCGACCTTTGATATGAATGGGAGTGCTGTACTGAAGATTGCAGAGGTGAGTACCTCCTGCTTGTGTCTGATGCTCGCTGCTGCTTTGCACTCTGACTAAGGGGAATGCTTGACGAGATCTGAATAGCAGCAGAGAGACTCTCTGATCACTTCTCTGCTGACTGTGGGGAGTTTCTGCTGGTTTACTTTGTGGGAAACATGTGTGGCTGACTGGCCTTATTCCTGATGTGATGGGTCTCAGGGCTCTGTGTGCTTAGGTTTACTTCACTTGAGTAATTGCAAAGCCTTTTCTGTTTAAAAATCATTTTAAGAAACCAAATCTGAGATTTATGAAAGTGTTTATTGATTCAGTTCTATCTGTCTCATAAGCCCTGAGAAATATGTCTCATAATTATCACTAAAAAGGCCTTTTTTTCCTATCAGGGCTATCCTGGGGTCACATGTTCCTTTCAGCACCTTCTAAAATGTATCCAGCAGAAAAACTGGCTCCTTGAATGTCTGGCATGTGCCTTAGCTTCTGGAAATGCCAACCTTTCAGAGCTGTACTTTACCTAGAATAGTTTTCCTTTTGTTCCTTGAAAGGAATATTTTTAATATTTGGTTATTCCAGAAGGAGTACATGTTCAGACCACAGTGGTAATGCTTTTCCATATTCTGAAATTATGGAGAAGCATTCTACCACTGAGCTACATTTCCAGTTCAGACCATGTGGAAAAATGTCCAGTGCTGTCAAAAGAAATGCTGCAATTAACTAGTTGGCCGCCAGTACACCATGAAGCAGCTTTCAATTGTGGATCTGAGGAGATAGGCAAACATTTTTCTTTGGGATATTTATATGTCTCTGTGTATATAAGCAATAAAACAGCATTGTTACCAAAATTGTTTTCAACTGAATTTTAAGAGACATAGTGAGAGGTCTTATTATTTGGAGTTCATTTGTACATTTGTTTATTTGTTATAGGTCAGTGAAGTTTCTAAAGTTAGCAAGTATAGAGAAATTTTAAGCAAGCAACACGTACTATAACAAAGAATCACATCCAAAGACCTAGGTCTCTGTGTTCTGGCTGGAATACAAGCATACCCTTAGTACATATCTTTAGGCCCAAACAATGGCATCTAATTGAGGGGCAGACAAGGTGATGAATCAGAGAAAGATTTGACAGAATGAGTCAGAGATAGGATACCCCCAACTCTCAGGAGAACAGACAGGAAAGAGAGGTTACTTAAGAGCAGTGCAGGGAGAGTCAGTTCACTTTGGAGAGTCTAGTTGAGTGCAGGTGAGTTCATGCACTTCTGTTCAGTTCTGTTTGGTTCATATAGTCAGTGAAGTTCCGTTTGTGGAGTTCAGAGGCAGTTTTTCCAAGCAGAGCAATTCAGTCAGAAGCTGAGGGAAGTTAATTTGAGTCAATCAGCTTGTAGAGGAGTTTGAGTCAGAATGGCTGAGTTGAACCAGACAGCAAGAGTTCAGAGAGATCTAAGATGAGTTTATTCAGCAATAAGTTTCAGAGGCTGAAACACTCTAGGCCTAGGTTAGCAGATGAGGCCTAGAAGCTGAAACCTTCAAGGTCTGGGCTTGCAGAGATTAGATTATAGAAGCTTCCAGACCTAGGCCTAGGGATAATTACATAAAAAATGCTCTGGGCTCAACCTAAGCTGTGTATTTGTAAAGCTTGGGTCTGGCTCTCATCTCATTCCATCATCTGAGGAAATAAAAGCAACATTTACAAGCAAAAAGGTGTATTAGTATTCAGAAGGTTGTTAGCCCTTTGTCTTCTGAAGGAAGAGAGAGAAGCTACTCTTGTCAATGGAAAGGAGGAAGGGAGCAACAGGAGCCACAGTATCTTTGAGAAGGGAAGACCGCAGTGAGCCCCATGCTATCCTGGGGAGGAAGAGGTCACCTTACTCATTCTCATGGAAATTAGATGTTTATTGAGAGTTTCTGACAGTCAGAAAAAGACCCAGAAGACATGTGCAGAGAGAGTGATTCATTAAACTCAGAGGTCGCTGCCAAAATCAGAAAGGAAGAAACAACCAAGTGGAAAAAGGGTTAGACTAAGACTGGTGTAAAGGTAAAGGTCCTTGAGCTTAGTGGTAAATGAATGTGCTCGGAGTCTCCCTGTTTGGTGTGGATCCTCCCTCTCCCACTCCACAGGGTTCCTTAACCTTCTCACTCTCTGGCCCTTGTAGATCACAATTACCCCATTTCTTAGCAGGGATGTTCCAGTTAGACTCAATACCTACATTCCACACAAATGGTTGTTAGTGTATGTCCAGTACCATAGTGTACAGTGTTCACCATTGTCTTTTTAAAAATTTTTAGGGAAGCAACTTGGAAAAATAAAACAAGCTCCAAAAGTCACATAGAACTCTGGTAGAAAGGAATCCAGCTGTTCTTTGCCCTCTCATTGTGGTAGACACTGATGGCATTTACTCTGAAACTTGTTGATCAGGAAGTAAGATGTATACTTAAGTATGAAAAAGGAGGCTATTTCCTGGAGGTACTGTTGAAACCATAAAAGGATCATTAAGCTTTTCAAATGTAAATATAAAGGCAACTTTGATTTGTGTCTAACACAAGTTTGCTTAATTAACCTCAAGTAGGAAAGTTTTCCATAGCATACTTTCTATGTTATATGAGGAATTAAAAACAAAACAAACAAACAAAAAAAAACCCACCAGATTTGTTAAATGAACAATTACAAAATAAGCAAACATTATTAACTATTCAGTTTCAAGAACTGTCATTACTAGACCTCCACACTGATACATAGTCCTGATGGGTCAAGGTTCGGCATAGGCTTCTCTTTGCATTATGCACAAGTTATGAGACATATTGAGTTTTCCAAAGATAGTCACTGTCTTCATATAGAGGAAGGCTGAGGGTATAAAAATTGCCAAGGTCTTCAATAAAGGAAAAGGTCAAATCATAGCTAAAATCAGTCTTAGGTTGATTTAAAGATGGTTAATGACAGTGTCCCACTAGAGAATTGAGAACTGTCTCCAAGCCTGCGGAAGATTCCTCTATGGAATTTCTCAATGGTCAAAACCTTGGCTATTCTCTTCTATTTGATGGTTTGATCTTAGGTTCCTAGAAACGACTAGTATCTCCCCCCACTCTGACCCCCAGCAAGCTTGTTGGGCTTAGGAAAATGTTTTAGAATCGTTATTGTTGGGTTTTGATTTTTTACATTCTTATTTCCAGGAACTTCCCTTTTTAACTCCTTCTAACCACCCATCTTACTTTTCCAAAACACCAATTAATAAAAGCTATCAGTCATCAAGTCCCTGTGGCTCTTTTTCGTCATTTTTCTTTACACTCTACTACACTTTGGCTAAATACAGAACCACAAACCAAGTAAAGTTAATTTCCTTGCCCCAGATTCTACAGCTTGCTCAATAGCTTAGACCTTTTGTCTTGTGATCACGTGCTGCTGTTAACCACTCTGCTGTATTGCCCTCAGGGCTTCATCGGTGTTAGGAAAGGATGGACCTTTCCTGGGGCATTTAGTCAGAAAATGTAGACATGTTGTTTTTACAGATGAAGTTAAGTATGGATGCATTTAATTTTTTTGTGACCATATATTACATGGCCATTGGCGATATGCAGTTCTGCTACCTCAAGCAAGTTGAGATCAGAGTTGAGGAAATATTGGAAGGAATGTTGTTGTTGTTTGTGTTTGTGTTTTTATGTCCCTGAAACCCTTTTCTCTCTTCCCTGTGTACCATTTCTGTATTGGTTCTGGTTTGACTCTTCTGGCCTATCTGTTCATGTATTACTTGCTGCTAGATGGACTTTGAGAGAGCTAGTCTTTCATTGTAAGGGATTTTTGCATCCTTGTTTATCTCTGATTTGATGGTTCTGAGTGGAATTCCTTGTAGATAGAAGATGCAGAGAATTTTGAGAACCATTTACTTGGGGATCCTTCATGAGGAAAAGGCTAGGTGTCAGTAAAACCACAGACTGGGCAGAAGGCTCTAATTGGAGTGGTGCAGGAATTAATGAGGTAGGGTGTCTTAAACCATTTTTATTTGTGTATCCTCCCCTTCTCCCTCTCTCCTTCCCTTCCTTCTTCTTCCTCCCCCTTGCCGTGTGTGTGTGTGTGTGTGTGTGTGTGTGTGTGTGTGTGTGTGTATGCATTTGAGGCAATTTGATGGGGTACCTCTTTTTATTTCCCACTAATTTATTTTTTTATTCACTTTACACCCTGATTACTGCCCCTCCCTTGTCTTCCCAGTCCCATACTTACAAATTTCTCCCCCACCTCTCCTCTACCTTTCATTAAAGAAAGGGAGTCCCCCACCTTGGATACCAGCCCACCCTGGGACATCTAATCCTAGCAGCCCAACCAGACAATCCAGGTAGGGGGAAGGGGATCCAATTGCAGGGAACAAAGGCCAAGACAGCCCCCATTCCACTTGTTAGGGGATCTACATGAAGTCCAAGCTACACATTTGCCACAAATGTATAGCTTCTGCATGTTCCCTGGTTAGTGGCCCAGGTTCTGTGAGCCACCATGGTCCCAGGTTAGTTGGCTCTGTAGGTCTTCTGTGGTGTCCTTGTTCCCTCTATCTTGCTTACTTCTATCCCTCTCTCTTCATTAGACTCCCTAAGCTCTGCCTCATGTTTGACTGTGAGTTTCTGCATCTGCCTCCATCCACTGCTGGATGAAGCTTCTCAAGAGACAGTTGTGCTAGATTCCTGTCTGTAAGCATAGCAGACTATCATTAATAGTGTCAAGGGTTGGCTCTCTCGTATGGGATGGGTCTCAAGTTGAGGCAGTCATTGGTTGGCTCTTCAGTCTCTGCTTCATCTTTAGCTCTGGACATCTTGCAGGCAAGAAAAATTTTGAGTTGAAGGTTTTGTGGGTGGACTAATGTCCTCCTCCTTCCTCTGGAAGTCCTGCCTGGCTACAAGAGGTGGCCACTTCAGTCTCTATATTCCCCTCTGGTAGGAATCCCAGCTAGGATCACCCTCACAGACTCCTCATATCTCCGGGATCCCAGGCCTTCAGCTAGTCACCAGAGATTCTCTCCCCATGCTGCCCAATTTCCATTCTTACTCCCAGCCCTCTCCCACCCACCCCACCTGATTACCATTCCCATTGTCCCCCTCCTCACCTTCTCTCCTACCCAGTTTCCCCTCTCTAGATAGTCACCTCCAATGACTATTTAGTTTCCCCCTGAGGAAGATTCATGCATCCTCCCTTGGAACATCCTTATTACTGAGCTTTCTTGTGGTCTGTAGATTGTAGTATAGTTTTCCTGTTCTTTGTGGCTAATGTCCACTTATAAGTGAGGACATACCACACATGTCTTTCTGGCTCTAGGTTATCTCACTCAGGATAAAAATCTCAAGTTCCATCCATTTGCCTGCAAAATTCATAATATCTTTGTTTTTAATACCTGAGTAGTATTTCATTGTGTAGTTGTACCACATTTTCTTTATTCATTTTTCAGTTGAAGGACATTTAAGTTGTTTCTAGTTTCTGGCTATTACAAATAAAGCTGCTATGAACATAGTTGAGCAAGTGTCCCTGTGGTATAATGGGGCATCTTTTCGGTGTATGCCCAGGAGTGGTATAGCTGGGTCTTGAGGTAGAACTATTTCCAGTTTTCTGAGAAACCGCCAAATTGATTTCCAAAGTGGTTGTACAAGTTGGCATATGCCTATCTGTTACAAGTGTCCATCTGTTAGGAAGGAGGAACTCTTTTAGAAACAGTAAGAAATGGCCTGACAACTCATCCATCACCATGATCATCATCATTTAGTTTAGGTTTATGGTAATCGTCAAAACTTTTCCAATTCTCTGTGATCAACAAGCACTTGCAGTCTTCTCTATACAGGGGCTTTCTAACAGTTTAATCTCTTATCCTATGTCATCATTTGTCTCATTTATGTTTTAATTAGAAATACAGCTTCTCTTGTCTGCATAGAACTAATGATTCAGTAGCATACATACTTGCTTTTTATTTTGGTGCAGAAATGTCATTAACTCCATTCATACAGGAAAAAGAAAGTTGCATTTATACATCACTAAAGTGGAAGTTCTGTGTGCTTTACAATTCAAACCAAATTTCTCTTGAAGCATCTGCTTTAAAATTTGTGTTTGTTTTGGCCCAAATATGCTACTATATACCTCAGTGCTACTTCATGTAGTGATTCAATGCTTCATTTTACCCGTTACTGTTATTTTCACCCTTATGACTTATGACTTAAGGATTCTATGGTTTGTGCTTGCTTGTGCACTTGCATTTTCTGGCTCTTTTTCTCCTTTGAGGGCTTGTTCTACATCATTAACATCTATGATTTTGTTATCAGTTGTGATTAGCATGTCATAAAGCTGGATGTCCACACATGCATGGAATGATTAAAGTGTTCGTTACAGCTCTCCTCCCTGCCCTGGGTCTTACTGCATTCCCTGGTGATCAGGGGCCTTTGGTTTTTTATAAGGTATTTCAGCTGGTCTTTCACACTTCTGTCCAGGGTACAGACTTGAGGCTTTTTAAATTCTAAATAACAGATGTAAAGGAAATGCTATGGTAGAATGATACTGGGAAAGGGAAGAAACCACAGCTTCTTTACAGAAACCCAACCTGCCTTCAGACTTGGCATTCTCTTGACTTTTTTTCCAAGTGTGTTCATTTACTTCTGCCTTGTAGCAAAAGAAGCTAAGTATTTATACAATTTAAAATTCTCTGGTGTTGAATACAGTGTTCAAGTTTAAAAATATAAACCTTATTTCCACTAACTAGTTTAACAACTTATCACCATAGAAAGCTTAAGAAACGTTTTAAAAAACATTTTTAGCTATGCCATGCATAAATACAATTCATTGTAGTTATAGTCATCGTTACCCACTCATCACCCTCTCAGAATAGCTGATAAATTATTTCATTCTAAGCACCTAAATCTAGAGGTGTCAGAAAGAGATAATATTGTCTATGTTTAACAATATGTCTATTTATCATATTTAGTATTGTATTTCAAAATTTGGCACAATAAACACCTTAAGTTAATACTTTTTTCCACTGAGTAAATATGTTCATCATTTTCCTTAATAAAATGCAAATGTTGTGATATGTTTTGGCCAGTATTATTTCTGCAATATTATTAATTAAAAACAGTGAGACATTTACACTCAAAAAGATACTATTGATATTTGCAAAGTTCTTCTCTGTTTATAATGTTGTGCTATGTAAAGTTAGATTTTCCATAGATATTTTCATTCATAGGTTTCAAGGGGCTCATATAACGTCTTAAGGGAGGTTGTATGGTGTGTATGGCTCAGGGTTCAGGAGGATGTATGTTAAGTGTATTGTTGAGCTGCTCTTTCAAATTCAGTGCTTTAATGGACTTGGAGTCCTTGTTGAGGGCTGGAGAGACGGCTCAGCCATTAAAGGCTAAGCTCTCAACCAAAAATATAAGAGTCCTCTTTGAGTATATGTGAAATCTTATTTTAAACATCAAAAGTTACAAAAGATTTCAAAAAATCTAAGATATGAAGAAAATTATTTAAAGCCGTTAAATTGTGAAATACAAATGGTATTTGCATGTCTCAATAGACTACAGAGAAACTGGCTTCATCAAAATGCAACACTGTACTCAATAAGAAATACTTTAGAGTATTAAAGTTATTCCATCACATCTCAAAGGATAAGCTCTGGAGACCAAGCCACCATCGTAAAGGCTCATATAAACTACTGTGTATGTAAATCCATTATAATCTATAATTATTTGAAGAAATGGGCACATACTTTAAAATCGGCACTCAAGAAGCAAGTCAGAGCTTTTTGAGTTTAAGGCCAGTCTGTTTTACAAAGTGAGTCTAGACTAGCCAAGGCTACATAATGAAACCTGTCTCAAAACAAACAAACAAACAAACAAACAAACAAACAAAATTGTTTCTATTTTTTAAAATAGGAATTCTATCTAGAAGGAATCCATCTGAATCCAATGTTAAGTTTCAGATGTCTCTTATGAAATAGTAAGCAGTCTGTAGGGTATGAATTAAACTTTAAAAAAATATTTATTTTGTAGAGCTAAGAGTTATTGTAAATGCTAGAGCTCTGTTTGAACAACATATATAAAGCCTGAGTTCCATCTCAACACTGAAAAATAATAATGATAAACATGGGCTTTTGGTTAATTGTATTAAAAGACATATAGTGTGGCTTGCCAAGAAACTCTCATACCTTGAGCAAT